TGTGAGCATCAGACTGAAATGAGGATATATTCTTTTGAAGGAACTTCCTCTTCCTGTGGTTCTTTGTAGTGACTGGGGCCCAACATGGTTTCATTTCAATCACATGTGATTGCATAAAAATGTTTCTGCGACCTACTGTATGTTCAGTTTCTTGAATTTTATGTTCGATCTAGATTTTGATCATTCAGCCTATTATTTTAATTAAGTTCTCAGTAAAAGTACTGTGTAAGATAGATAGATAGATAGATAGATAGATAGATAGATAGATAGATAGATAGATAGATAGATAGTACCACCCAATTTCAGTGTTACTCACACATTGGTTAGTCATTCTCAATGATCACCAGTTGTGTGTAGTATGGAGTTTGGAGACCCCTGCGTATTGTTGTTAATATAACATGGAAACAATCAACTCATTATTACTTTAGAAGTCCAAAGAGAACTGAATTAAAGAACTCCTGTAACAGGTATGTGTGGGACTGATGACAAGTGACAACAGCCATTAATTCAGGTGATAACATCTGAAATGAGTGAGTAGTATGCACTGACTGATTCAGTGCATTTTAAAGCAATTATATATGTAAGTATGCAATTGCTTATATAACTGCTTATATAATACAAGGAATTATATTCAATTCCTTGAGTTTTTGTGCTTTGTATTACTTTTCCCCTTGTTGTCTTGTAAATGTATATTGTCTGAGTCTACCCTTGTCCTTTGTTATAGAGTGCCCTCTTGTTTTATCTTTCCTTGCTATTATTTGGATTCCTAGCACTTCCGTTAAATGAATTTTTGTGATTTGTTTCAGTATTTAAGCTGTTGTTCTGAGTTCATTCCGTTTCCCATGTCCTGTGTTTGGGTCCACAACAGGCCTGTCATATAGCCCTCATATAATAGTTTTCTATGACATTTTGTCTCTATATCTGTATGTACTAGCAGTGTAATCTTAAAACTATGATTACATCAGCTGACATGCATCAACATACATTTATTGAGGATAGCAGAAGCTATTGCAGAATACACTTGGATACAATATTGTGCCTGCTATTCAGTACAGTAGCAGTAAATGAATTTTTACGAACAAAAAAAGTCTTACCTGTCATTGACAAATGTCACTATAGAGTTAACAGAAAGAGAAGTACTAGTCTACTTTTTTTCTACAGTGACAGAACATACAAGAATGCAGTTGGATTTAAGATGACTGGTGTGCTTTTCCAGTTTGTTGGGTAGATTTTAACTTTGCATGGTGAATGTTTCTTTATATTTCCATAATCCTGGAAGTCCCACCAACAGAACCAAGTACTGCTCACGCTCTTATCATATCGGGTCATGTCTGCGTCTTATGGTTCCTGTTTTACTTTGAAGAGGTCTTGTGTTCTGTGTTCATTGTTTTAGGTTCACATTTTTTCCTGTGATGTCATCACACCACATGGTCATAGGGACACATGGTCACATGGGTCAGCTGTGTCCCCATGTGTTTCCCGTCCCCTCGTCACCTCCTGTGTATTTAAATATCACAACCTTTCCTCAAAATGAAATACTGACATTACAGAATGCATGGTTTTATACTAAAATGGCAGAGAGGATAAAAAAAAATGTTGTTTTTATTTTTATTGTTTTATTTTATTGTTTTATTAGTTTATTGGGGGATTTTTTTTCCCGTTGGTTTTCAGGGGTTTTTGGGCCTTCCAAAACCAAAATAATGCAGTGAAATCAGTTTTGTTGCTGATGTTTGTCCAAAACTTTAATCACCACCAATGTCCCATTCATATACTGTTTAGTATATCAAGTCAAGTGTTTTTTATTGTCATTTCAGCCATGTACAGTGGTACAGTACAGAGTGAAATGAGACAACATTCCTCCTTTTTGGAAAATAAATTATTTGAAAGCTTGCCAAAATATATCTAATCACATAGGATCACATTGGATTGTCCAGGTTGAAAGATTTTACAAGAACAATCTCAGTCCACAGGCTATAACACAAAGGCTCTCTGGCCTTAAGTACTAATTGCCTGGGTACCTCCTCTCTGTGGAGAAAGCTCTCTACAGAGGTGTTGTATATGGGTGTGGAGAGGGTGTGGGACGCGCCCACCGGCAACACAGCCAGTAAACTCTAAATGCTCTGATATGACATATCAAACAAGGTACAGATCAATGGTTAACAGATGAGGTCATTTCAGTGGACTTTGACAGAGAACTGACTGCATCCTGTGACTGTGTGGGGCAAGTAGGCTTTAATAATACTTTAAATTTCATTTAAAATGATTGATAGGGGAGTGATTGGTTGCATAAAATGCTTTTAATCATTTGTTCAATCTGTCCAAACCTTTTAGTCTGTTGTTTGTTTTCCACATCTGACCGAGTGAATATGGAGTGTCACGGTCCTGGGTCGGTGACCCAGTGTTTTGACTTTTGTTTTATTATTATTATTAATCCGTGATTTCATTGTGGTTTATGATTACTTGTGTTTTGGTTTGTGTTTTGTATGTCATGTCACTGTTGTCTCTGTGCTCCGTGGTCCCTTTGTTCAGTGTGAAGTCCTTGCCTCTGTCGTGTGTTTCCTGTTTTACTTTGACGGTCCCTTGACCCATAGCAGTGTTTCTAGTTTTACGTCTCCCCGGTCTCGCCTGTTTAATTAGTGTCATCTGTGTTTCCCTCCTGGCCCTCATTCCCTCGTTTACTCCTTGTATTTATTGTCCGTGTTTTCCTCCGAGTATAAGTACCCTTATACTCGCCTGTGTGTTCTTTTCACAGTTTTTCCGGTTTGGTTTTATTTTGACTCATGCAATAAAGCTGAGGTTTTACATCCTGGAGTCTGCTTCTGGTTCCTCCCTTCCTGCCTTCTGCACACAGACCTTGAAAGGAGGGTGCAAAAGTGCTTGAAGTCATATGTCATATGATCTTGTGACTGGAGAGCTAGGGGAAGGTAGACCACAGAAAAAAGTTGATATAAATGTGTATATAAGATATATATGAGTGTCATAATATTTAATATATTTTCTCATTGGTACATCTGATATGCAATGTAATAATATATAATAATATAATATTTTACAAATGAAGTATCAATATTATATAAATATGGCACAGGCACTGCCACTCTGAGAGTGAATTATCAACAGCATATCAAGCTGACTGTGTGAACCATGTAGCCTGGACTTAACTGTTCAGCCTTTGTAGTGTTTTAAGTTCTTATACCCCTGAAAAATACATGTATGGAAAATTATAACTGAGAACAAATTTTACAATTTTAGCATCTGTGTCGTATGATCATCCAATTAAAGCTGCTGTCTGAAACTCACGGACCGGGGGCCTCTTCCAGCCCACGTCACCCCTACTTGCGGCCCGTATATTGAAGAAATATAATGCAATTTGGCCCTTGAAGTCACTTTTTTGTTAGGGAGGATTTGTTTGTTGCTGAGTGCAATGTCCAAATACATTCTTTTGACAAAAAAGCAAAGAATTGTGTATATGAGCAGAGACATGTTGAGGGATTGGCTCTGTTGGTTCAATGAGAGAAGTATTTGTAAAGAAAACAATTTTCACTAGCAGTCAGAAACTAATGTGTACACTTATGTCTGCATTTTTAATTTTGTTAAATACGAACAAAATTATAGCAGAAATGCTGCCACGCGTCTGGCCAGAAAAAGATTTGTTTTCAGTTTGTTTATTTGGTAGTTGACACACACACAATGACACAATGACAGTTGCCTCAATATGTTTTATATGTCTACGATTGTGATGTGAAAAGCCAAATCATAATTGTTTATAGTGATTATTTGTATGATTAATGTGCAATTTATTTATGATTTTTTCCTATATTTTTCATTTCAGTCTTCAAACTTCTACAATGTTTTGCCTGAAGGATGGACGTTGCTGTAAAATGCCACTTGGGGCCATCTGTGTCTTGCTTTTTCATCACTCTATTTTTTTCTTTCAGTTTTGTGGAGGTAAATAAGTCTTATGTTCATGAAGTTACACAAATTATACAAAACATCGAAGTCTATTAATTACACAAATATTTATGTTATTGATTAAATATCAGCCGTTTAATTTATGTCATAGAGTAAAACAGCCAATTTAAAAGAGTTACATCACCTAGGCTTCCGAACCTTTTTTTTTTAAACATGTTTAACACGTATTTGTAATCTTCCTTTAGGTGTGTCTCAGGTGGTTGGTCCATCTGAGCCAGTTGTGGCAATAGTTGGTGATGACACTGTGTTACCATGCCATCTGGATCCTGCTGTGAATGCTGCTGATATGACAGTAGAGTGGACACGATCTGACCTCACACCTAAATTTGTGCATGTTTGGCGTGATGGCGTGGAGCTCGTGAATAAAAAAAATGAAGCCTACATGGAAAGAACGTCACTACCCATTAACAACCTGAAGCTCGGAGACATTTCACTAAAACTCTCCAAAGTGAAACTGTCAGATAGGGGATCATACAAATGCTTCATTCCTGCCCTTAGTGGACAAGCTAGTGTTGAGCTTGTTGTTGGTAAGTGGAGATATAGTCTTTGTACAGAAAGCTCAAAATGATATCTAATGTTGAAAATCATCAGTCATTATTTAGTTTATAAAAAGTACAATGTTAGTAGTAAAAAATCATAAGGGTAAAATAAACATATTATGCTGCACTATTATTTAACACATATATGCAACAGAACATACAGAATAACACTAAAATCAAACCATTAACAATGTGTATTCAGAGTCAATATTTGTGCTCAAAATGATGACAAACTGGAAAGAAAAATCTACATATCATCACTGAAAGGGAAAATTATTAATTTCAATTTTAGATGAAGTGTTTTATCAGCTAAAAGACACACTGTGGCCTCTTTATTCTATTTTACAAAGTGAGCCAATGTTTATATAAATCAATTTCCACATAAACATTTTGCTCTAGTTTTTTTTTGCATTCTGTTGTTTTATTACATATATATTGAATCCATTCATAATTATTGTTAACAATTAAAACAAGTGAATCCTCTCAGCATTAGTACTGGAATAAATTTAGGAAAGGTTCACTCATAATTTAAAGATAGCTTGTAATAATAAGTCAAAGACAGCTGCAATGAATGCAATCAATAACAATATCAAAAGTGGTGTAATGTCTTATTTTGTTTTATTGTAGTTAGTGTTGGTAAGGTGGCACCATTTATCGAATGGAAGTACAAAGGTAGCTGATAAGCAGTTTTAGACAATGTGTTAGGTTCAACATTAAAACTACTTTATTAAAAGGGTCTTGGTGCTGCTTGCCTGGTCAAAAGAGATTGATCTATTGTTTGGGCTGTCCTTTTGTGCCTGAGACAGGGATATATAGGCAGGAAATCATTTGGCTTCTGATGGTTGTGGCATGGCCATTTGAGGACAGGG